AAGTCATGAAAGTAAAGTCTGTTCGTATGGTTTTTGTACGAATGGATGGGATAACCGGCACTTCAGCAGGATTCATAAAAATCAGTAGCCGATCATAGTTCCAGGAGTTTTAGCCCTAGGTCCCACTGAGCATTCGACAACACAAAGATGGCCGCCGCCTCGTGTTCGACATATGAACGGCGACCACCTTGGAATAGGTACTTAGAGTTCAGTTAACCACAAAAAACCCAGCTTAATTGAAGACACACGCCAGTAGCTAAGTGGTCGTCGTTCAACAGTTCTTTCGTGCGGTGGTTTCGTACTCCGTTCGGTTATTTGGATACAAATGGTGACCACCCTGATGCCAGCCAATTAGGCTGCGGTTAACCACAAACCGCAGCTCCCGGGAGGTTAATTGTCGGCACACTCCTGGGGTAGGGTGGCCAGATGTTCGTCAGTTCTTTCTGTGTTTTCAAGGTCAATGGGGTTAACTAGCGGCACACGCCAAAAGCCGGGTGGTCGGTCATTCGTACATCTGAATGACTGGTAGAACAAAGTATCAAAGTGAAACAAAAGTATCTGTAGGTATCCGACAGAGGGGATCTCTAACAATTCTAATTTACTGAGATTGTGGATCTGGGGTTTTCATGAGCTGATATCAGGGCCTGATTAACATAGGTGCTGATGGAGCTGCAGCTCCAGGCCCAGGCCCATGGAATAGGCCCATTTAAAAAAAAAAAAAAAAAAAAAATCTTTTTACACACTGGTATTTTAATGGCACAGACGGTATTTGAGGCTGCCTGGCCTTGCCAGTATTGCAGTAATACCAGCAATACAAATGCAGGTATTTTTCTCAGAATAAATGGAAATTACTCTGCAATACCAGCACCGGCCAGTAGGGGTCACTGTGTGTGGAAAGAGGCAGGGATAGGAAGTTACAGCATATCACTCCCTGCCTCTCTCTGCTACTCACTGATCCGCGGGGGAGCAGCTACACAGCACAGAGAGTCCAGACAGCAGCTCTACAGCTCAGGTAAGTGAGGGATCGGGGGAAAGGCAGCAGGGACACATGGGGACATGGGGACACTGAGACACACATGGGGACACTGAGACACTGGGGACACATGGGGACACTGAGACACTAGGGGACACATGGGGACACTGACACTAGGGGACACATGGGGACACAGACACTAGGGGACACTGAGACACTAGGGGACACATGGGGACACCAGACACTAGGGGACACAGACACTAGGGGACACATGATGACACATACACTAGGGGACACTGAGACACTAGGACACAGACACTGGGAGACCTGGGAACACTGAGACACTTGGGGACACTGGAAAACATGGGGACACTGCCACTAGGGGACACTGAGACACTAGGACACATGGGGACACAGACACTGGGAGACCTGGGGACACTGAGACACTAGGGGACACTGAGACACATGGTGATGCTGAGACACATGGGGACGCTGTGAGACATAGGGACATTGGGAGACATTGGGACATGGATACACTATGTCCCCCAGCCAGTGTCCCTAGTGTCTCAGTGTCCCCAAGTCTCCCAGTGTCTGTGTCCCATGTCTCTCAGTGTGCCTAGTGTCCCCATGTGTCCCAGTGTCCCCATGTCCATGTCCACAACTGTCCCCATGTCTCCCCAAGTGTCTGTCTGCCAACCAGTGTCCCCTAGTCTCCCAGTGTCCCCTAGTCTCCCAGTATCCCCTAGTCTCCCGGTGTCCCCTAGTCTCCCAGTGTCTGTGTCCCTAGTGTCTTAGTGTCCCCATATGTTTCAGTGTCTCCATGTCTCCCAGTGTGTTCCTAGTGTCTCAGTGTGCCTGGTGTCCCCATGTCTCCCAGTGTCCACATGTCTATGTCCACAACTGTCCCCGTGTCCCCAAGTGTCTGTCTCCCAGCCAGTGTCCCCTAGTCTCCCAGTGTCCCCTAGTCTCCCAGTGTCTGTGTTCCCATGTCTGTGTCCCTAGTGTCCACAAATGTTTCAGTGTCCCCATGTCTCCCAGTGTCTGTGTCCCTAATGTCTCAGTGTCCCCATTTCTCCCAGTTTCCCTAAATGTCTCAGTGTCCCTGGGTCTCTCAGTGTCCCCAGTATCCTAGTGACATGGGGACACACTGAGACACTGGGAGAAATGGGGACACAGACTCTGGGAGACTAGGGGACTGGGCGACACAGGGACACTGACACTGTAATACATAGGGACACTGAGACACTGGGTGACTTGTGAGACTGAGACACTGGGAGACAGGGAGACACTGGGAGCAATCCATCTATACAGCAGAATCAAACTGTGAGTAGTTTGGTGATTTTATAGAATTTTCTCTGATGTCACTCCTTGTGATTTACATCATGTGATGTCACGCATAACTAATTAATTATACAAATGATTAAGGCTGGTATTTTTTTCCAAGAAAGGTGGCAACCTTAACTACTCTTCAAGTACTCTGGCTTAAAGAAGCACTATAGGGTCGGGAACACAATCATGTATTTCTGACCCTATTATGTTAAAACCACCACCCTTGCCCCTTCTTGCCTCCCTAAATATAGTAAAATATTACTTGTATTAAATTCTGCAGCTGCTGGCTCAGAAGTGGTGGTCTGAGCAAATTACAATACTTCCCCATAGGACTGGCTGAGACTGTCAACTAGGCAGATCAGGGGCAGAGCCAGCACGAGTCCAACATAGCCCTGGCCAATCAGCATCTCCTCATAAAGATAAGTTGAATCAATGCATCTCTATGAGGAAAGTTCAGTGTCTGCATGCAGAGGGTGGAGACACTGAATGGAAGTGCTGCACACTAGGCAGTACTGCCCCAGGGAGCACCTCTAGCAGCCATCTAAGGAGCAGCCGGTGGAGTTATTTTCTCTGAAAAGACAGTTTTTATTGCAAAAAGCCTGAATGAAATTATTCTACTTACCAGAACAAATACAATAAGCTGTAGTTGTTCTGGTGACTATAGTGTCCCTTTAAGTTTGGAAGCTTAAGAGGGATGTATTGGAACAAAACTTGTGTGCACTTACTGACATTAAAGTTAGATTAGGTAATGCAGATGTTGGTCTCTCTAACACTGTGGCATGTCCCCTTTCTTCTACACTCACTACAGACATCTTTTCTCTGTCTCAGACTATATACCAGGAACTTCTGCCTGCTAGTAAGAAGGTAAGGAGACAAGTGGACCGGCGAGTGCTATGGGACAGTCCTTTGAAAGAATGGAATGAGCGCATCATTAGACACATTTATGTCAAGCTCAAGGTGCTGCCTGCATAGTATGCCCTTAGTTGGACAGCCTGCAGGATTGGCAGGCAGCCTGACATGCATTCATACCAGGCTGACCTTCCAATTCTTTGGACAAACATTCCCCTTTTTGGGCATGTTCACCCCTTTTGGCAGGTCTTTTCACGTGATTCGTGCCAGTGGCCCACCCTTTTACACCGCCCATTGACTTCCTGCTTCGCTGGACACTGCTGTTAGGGTTATGGATTTACTTGAAAGATGAAATCATAAATTAGAGAGGGATTAGCATAGAGTATGTGTTTTCTTATAGCTGCATCCTATGAGTTTCCCTCCAGCACCATCTCCATCAGATACATGACGCTTGGGAGGTATGACTGTTTTAGTGTTTTTGGTCAATAAGATTCCGTAATTAGGCCCATCATAATTGTCAGCACCAGGCCCACTGTGCTCTTAATCCGGCCCTGGCTGATATGACAAATCACGGCTTGAACTATCTTGCTTTGCATGTAATGCGTCTATCTAATATATTAGTTTCCCTTTTTATGTTGCATTTCTGAAATAAATGAACTTTTGCACGATATTCTAATTTTTAGAGTATCACCTGTATATAAGTCCTGCCTACAGAAACGTAAACAATGACGCTTATGTGCATGTGTCATCATGTCACCGACGCACACACACGTTTTTGAGTCAACGGTCACAGTAACCAACCATAAGCAAGGAAGGTTTATTTAAACCTTTTAGTGCTATTTTTCAATACCCTGTCGTGGTTTCCACTTGTGGTTGTCCAAGAGTGCATTTCTGTAGTATTTTCTTCTGATAATTTTGGCTTGTGCTTTGGCTAGTTATATTGTTCTGTCTCCTTCTGTATTCCTGACCTCGGCATGTAATTGACCATTAGTGATGTTGCGAACCCGAAATTTTCGGTTCGCGAACGGCGAACGCGAACTTCCGCAAATGTTCGCGAACCGGCGAACCGCCCGAAACGCCATTGACTTCAATGGGGAGGCGAATTTTAAAACACACAGGGACTCTTTCTGGCCACAATAGGGATGGAAAAGTTGTTTCAAGGGGACTAACACCTGGACTGTGGCATGCCGGAGGGGGATCCATGGCAAAACTCCCATGGAAAATTACACAGTTGATGCAGAGTCTGGTCTTAATCCATAAAGGGCATAAATCACCTAACATTCTTAAATCACAATGGATATGGATTGACACCTGACATATGACATATTGACACCTTGACATATGGATTGACACCTGTCCTCAGAGCCCCTGATGCACACGGACACAGAGCAGAATAGAGACTGGTCCCCTACATAGGGTCACTTGGCAGATATGGATTGACACCTGTCCTAAGGATCCCTGATACACACTGACACAGAGCAGAATAGGGAGCAGAATAGGGACTGTTCCCTCTACATCGGGTCACTTGGCAGATATGGATTGACACCTGTCC